ATTTATTTAAGCAATTATATATTTACCATACTTACTGGTTTTACCATATGCAGCTTCATATTTTCTCCCTTTTGACGCTTTCCGCAACTACTCGCTTGCAAAAATCTATCGCAGATTCGCTTAATACGGGCGCGATGATACGTAGCGCGACGCTGTCGAGTGTCGGCGCGCATAATATGATACGGCAGGAAGGAAGGGGGGGGAGCGTAGAAAGGATGGAATGAATAATGATACTATAAATATTGAGATATGTAGAATATTAATAAACATTTATTACTCACGTAACGCATGATATACAATATTGTGTGAAGCATATAAAATCAATTCACATTCAATATGTGAGTTTTTATCATAAATCTTACGCAAGATATTTATAGCATCGCATTTGTTCCTAATACAATTTTGACATAAATATGTAATGAAATATTTAAATTTATCGCTTACACTATTTGTACATTGACACAAATCGAAATATACATGCTCAACACATTGTTCCAGTTCAAACATGAAGAGCATGGTCGATGGTTTCATATATAAACACTTATCACACAAAGATAATTTCACAGTGTCCATATCGCGTATTTTAACAAGTTCAATCACAAAGTCTTGAATCACTAATGACGACGGAGTAGGCGATTGCACCAATCGCTCGATATCAACCTTTTTTTCGACGAACGCCGTCCACGTAGCACGAGGCAGGACGATGCGATTGCCTCGAGTCACCGATCGCAATTTCCACGTGAGACATTGGTCCCACGATAATCCCGATCTCCAGAAACTTGTACGCTGTCGGTGTCAGCGCGAACACCCTCCTCAAAATGCTACGCGCACTGCAAGGAACAACAAACGAATAAGCAGTCTATAGAAAACATTTTTGCAGATATAAGTGATATACTTACTTGCATGGTTCATGCTGAACACGAGAATCCATACTGATGATGTCGAAATCGTCTGAGTGACTGATGCAGTAATATCGTTTCACCTCCTTTTTAATGTTTATACCCCACTACTGAACAACAGTTAAAAATGCAACATTGCAAATATGCGGCTGTAGTTTAAGAATTTATGCAAAAGACATACCTGATGAGACCATCATTGTAATTTGATACCACAAAAGTGCTTTGTGAAAACACATCGCAACATTTTTCGCGATGACATGATCAATTTAACACCTACAAAATGCATACCTAGCAACAAAAGATTTTAGATACATCCGATGATGAAATCATCAATGTATTATAATTTGATACCACAAAATGCAGCGGTTGCGAAAAAGTTGTTCAATATGATGCAATTGTACAACAACCATGTTAGATTTAGCGTAATGAAAGAATTTTTCAAGGACATTTAAAATGTTTACCGATGACAACATCATCATAAATAGCACAAATAATGATATAAAAATGTAAGGATTTAGGCGCATCACATCATTAGTAAATCTAACAGCAAAAGTGATAACATGGAGCGAGATTTGATTGAGCAAGCTACCCTGCTTAATACAAGAGAAGAGTACGTCACGTGGGAACAGCGATGCGACGAATTTATAGAATCTCTGGAAGAACAGAGCCGTATTAAACGCCCGCGATTATCGACCGGTAGTAGACAATCGGTGATAGCATGTATCGCGCGACTTGAGAGCTTGAAGGATTCAGTGCGCGGACGATTTGTGCACGTAGGCGCAGGATATGGACTTCGATGGCGCGAGATCGAAACGGTGTTCGAAAACCGGATTCTAACAGGCGCGGTAATAAACTCTAATTATGTCGAACCTCGCCGATTCCTCGAAGACGCGAGTGAAATTGTGCTCGAGAGTGTGCAGTGTGTTTTACAGAGATATGACTCTTTAAAGATAAACACAGTATTTAACGGTGAATTCGTGGCTGGTGACAAACGCTCGAACAAGAG